TTCACAAAGCTCTCTGCACCACTCTGCCTCCTTTTTGTCTTCCTCTGTCTTAAAACTGCCTTCTCATCCTCTATACATGCTTCTTCCTTCTCAACAACGCATCTCTGCTCTCATGAGGAGGCTCTTGCTTTGCTGCAATTCAAAACATCCTTCTCCATCGATTACATTGCTTCTAATCCTGATTTATGTAAATATTATTATACCGAACCTTATTCTAAGACTGAATCATGGAAGGAAGGTGTAGACTGTTGTTCCTGGGATGGGGTTAGCTGTGATAATGTCACAGGCCATGTAATTGCCCTTAATCTCAGCTGCAGTTTCCTTTGTGGCACCTTTCCTTCCAACAGCACTCTTTTCTTCCTCAGAAACCTGCAGAGCCTCAATCTTGCCTTGAATGATTTTAGGGATTCCAAGATTCCATCGGAAATCAGTCAGTTTACTAGACTAAAGCATCTTGATATCTCTTCTTCTGGATTTTCGGGCCAAGTTCCCACAGAAATTGCTCACCTCCCCAAGTTAGTCTCTCTCAATCTCTCTAGTTATGATTACAACTTGATCCTTGAAACAACTACCTTCAAAAATCTTGTTCATAACTTGAGTGAGGTGAGAGAACTTCAGCTTAGTGGAGTGAACATGACATCTGTTAATCCTCGTTTCTTCATGAATCTCTCTTCTTCTTTGACTACTCTTGATCTTTTCGAGAATGGGTTAAGAGGAAACTTTCCAAATGGTATTTTTCGCTTTCCAAATCTCAAGATTTTTTCTTTAAGTGGAGAGCGAAACCTCACTATTAATCTTCCAAGTTCCAATTGGAGCAGTCCTCTCCAATGGTTGGGTTTAGGTGATATGGATTGCGGAAGGCGATTGCCAGAGTCTATAGGAGATCTAAAGTCATTACAGTCTCTGGATCTTTCTCACTGCAACTTGGAAGGTTCCATTCCAGCTTCCATAGGGAACTTATCTGAACTTACCTTTCTTAACCTTGGCAATAATAAGTTTTCTGGTCCCATTCCAGCTTCCATTGTGAACTTATCTCAACTAATTGTCCTAAGCTTCCGTTCTAACAATCTTGGCGGAAAAATCCCATCATCACTTGCAAACCTCACCCAACTTAGCTGTCTTGGCCTTTCAAATAATCAGTTTTCTGGTCCCATTCCTTTTCATGTTACTAGTTTTTCCAAACTAAACATGCTAGACTTATCTTATAACTTACTTAATGGCACGTTGCCACCTTGGATTTTCACCCTACCTGTGTTAAAGTACTTGCAACTCAATCATAACCAATTTCAAGGTCAAATAAATCAATTCCAGCAAAATTCACTCACATACCTAGATTTGTCAAACAATAAACTCCAGGGCTCAATTCCTAACTCAATTGCTATTTTAGTAAATCTTTTTTATCTCGATTTATCATCAAATCATTTTAGTAATTTAGTAGAAGTTGACATGTTCTCGGCGCTTCAAAATCTGAAAACCATCTTTCTTTCAAACAATAATTTGTCCTGGAGAATGAATGTCAATGCCAACTTCACATTACCAAATCTAACTACTGTTTCCTTTTCTTCTTGTAACTTGAGTGAATTCCCCAATTTCTTAAGACATTCAAATTGTCTGGAAACCCTAGTGCTATCCAAAAATAGCATTCGTGGAAATATTCCCGAATGGATATGTGAAAAGGATGATCTCGAAATTCTTGACCTTTCTCATAACAATTTAATCGAGAAGATTCCAAATTGTCTTCCTAAGTTTCTCTCAGTGTTGAATTTGCAGGCCAATTACTTTGATGGAAATATACCATTTGGGTTTCCAGAGGGCTGTAGATTACAAAATCTCAACTTACATGGAAATCAAATGGACGGGCCATTACCAAGGTCTTTGGTGAATTGTAGCATGTTAGAGGTTCTAGACGCTGGCAACAACAACATAGAGGATACATTTCCTCATTGGTTGGAATCTCTACCAGAGCTTCAAGTGCTTGTCTTAAGGTCCAACAAGTTCCATGGTTTTGTGCAGAGCAGCAAAGAAAGTCCATCTTTTCCCAAGTTACGAGTTCTAGACCTCTCCAGCAATGATTTTCGTGGCCCTTTGCCTACTCGGTACATTGAAAATTTTAAAGCGATGATGGACCCTGATGGAGAGGATGGTTCCCCTGAATACATGACGATGTCTTATCAATCTTATCAATCTTCAACGCTTGTGGGAACGGTACCCAGTTCTTATCAATATTCACTGGTTGTGACATGGAAGGGATCCGAGCGTGAACTGCAGGGAATCTTGACCGTATTTAGTAGTATTCATCTCTCAAATAACAAGTTTCAGGGAGAAATTCCAGATGTTATTGGAAAGCTTAGTTCTCTCAAAGGGCTTAATCTTTCTCATAACAACCTTACTGGTCATATCCCACTGTCACTAGGGAATTTAACGAATCTGGAATGGTTGGATCTCTCTTCCAACGGGCTGACAGGGAAAATTCCTGATGAATTGGTATCTTTGACACAACTCTCTGTATTGAATCTTTCAAATAATCATCTTG